CCTTGCTGATGCCAGTGAAATAGCAGAACCAAAGCTCACGATCGCATTCTGCATACACACGGGCTGGGTGTTTCTTACAGAAGTGAATGGTTCTAAATGTGGCACCAGCATGGGAAGAAATCAGAGAATTGATAGAGATGCAAATCTTCCTCTTCTCTCTAGCCATGAAACCTGGGAAAGCGCAGATACAGCAAGGGAATGCGCAGGCTTCAGGGAGCGTGGTGTATCGGAAGCGATCTGGACAGACCTCTGAATCAATAATTAACTGGTTTGCGCCATCTGATAACAGCTTCCAGTTCAACTTTGCACTTTCTGAGAGGGATCCACAAGCAACCGACGCAACTTTGGAAGAGAGCCAGGGGGTAGGTGGCTCCGAACAGAGGCCCACCCGTGCACGTTCCTCAAAACTGGAAGGTTGGAGTGGAGGGTTGAACTTATCCACCCCTGGACAAGAGCCCAAGTTTGCTTTCAATTTTGTCATCCCGGATAAAGACGGCCCCATGATGCCATGTGTTGTTCCAGTCCAAAGAGTGGAGAGTCTAGCAGAAGACATGAGATCAGGTGACATATCATCTGCAGGACCAATGAAGCATTCAACTTTGTTAGACCCTGCTAAGCCTGAGGCCATGGGCAGTGTGGGTGGAGGATACCCAAAAACCAGAGCTTGCCCCTGTCGATGAGGTGGGAGCAGGGAAGGCAGCAGCAGCTGGAGCACCCAAGAAGAAGAAGAAGAAGAAGAAGAAGCCGTCCAATAGTAAGAAGGAGATGGCAGAAGCTGAGGTCAACAGGAAGGTGAAGGTGGGGGCCAGTGGTTGTGAAGACACGGACAAGACCTCGCAGGTACGAAAATGGATTCCTGGCTAATAAACAAACCTAGCTCACTGTGCAGGCTGCAGGCTGCCCTTGGAATGTATGCGGGGGGGTCTAACTCTAGGGGGGGGCACGGGTGGGACCGGATCTGAACCCTGTTCTGTTTTATGCAGCTTAGCCCATTAGGGTTTCATTGTGGCCGGAAACCTAACCAGTGGGGGTGGACTCGGTGGCTCAAGTTGATGTTGCTTTGCCCTTCCCTAGAGCCATGCCTGGGCGCCTGGGAGCACTTTGCAGACACAGAACGAGGCCTTGCAGCACCCCACTGCACCAACGGTGGGATTGAGGTGCAGAGAGGGTCACTGACCTGGCTAAGACCAAGACTAGAGCCAGGAACAGAGTCCTGGAGGCCTCCTGTGTCCCAGTGCCTGTCCCTAGGTTGTTCATGGCACAGAAAGAGGTTGAAGGTACCAACCGCTGTGAGTCCTGTGTTAAGGGATCGTTCAAGTCCGCCTGGCCATCAGCTAATGCTGCGCTGAAGTCTCTAGTCTCCGTTACGTTTTTCTTTAAAATGTCAGTGAATTGAGGTGTCCTGAGTGGTCCCACGCTGGCAGCTCTGGAACGTGAAGGCTGCAACACAAGAAGTTGCCGTGTGAGTTTCCTCCCTCACTCAGCGTCTGTGCCCCAGAGTGTGAGGGAGGAGGCGTCATTGTCTGTGGCCATTCAGTTGTCGGGCTCTCGGCTGAGAGGCAGCTGCAGGGTTTGTGTGAGGTGGGCAGCTGTCCACTAGGAACTGGACTGAGACCCACAAACTCACCTCCGAAGATGAATCTCAGCAACTACTGCCCCAGACCAGCCTGAGGCAAAAAGCCCCACCGTCCTTTCCCTGTCGCAGAGGCGTCGGGCCCCCAGGTGGGCACGGCTTTCATTTTTGGCCTGTTTATTTCCCTCCTCTCCCGTGTTCTGTTTTATGCAGCAGTCAGATGAACAGCTGTGGAGAGAAGTGGACTGGTGTGTGGAACAGCTGGAGCTTGGCCTGAGGACACACAAATCTACTCCAAAGCAGGGTGAGTGAGGGAGAAAACCGGGGGGGGGAGGGAGGGGA